GGGAGGCCCTGCTGGCTGTAAGCTGGGTGGAGGGACCCGTGTTTGTGACTGCTAATGACCTCAACACCCTCATGTTTTGCATCGGAACTGATGCCTGTTTCCCCTTCTCCAGTAGGTGAATTTCTGCTCATCCCTGTCCCCACTGGTCCCTGCCTCTCTGGCTGGCTGAGCTGCTGGCTTGTGGTCCTCTCCTGACCACCCATGGTGCCAGGTCCCTGCCCAGCCTGCCCTGGCTGCTCATAGAGTCTCTGAAATTCAGGAAATTTGTTGCCAAAGTAGATACTGATGTCTTTAGAAAAGAGGACCCTAGGAATAGTCATGTTTGCGAAGGGACTTTGGAATATTTGTTGGAAAATCCTATTATTTTTTAAATTCTGTTTTTCTATGAAAAACTTCTTGAAGTCCCCTTGTGTGTGTTGAATATTTTAGGAATGAGTAAAAGGATAGTTTCTGGGCCTGGCTGGCTTTGGTAACTGAAAGGTTGGTGGTTCAACCCCTCCAGCTGCTCTGAGGGAGAAAGATGAGGCTGTCTGCTCCCGTAGAGATTGCACAGCCTTGGAAACCTTATCTAGAGTTGCTATGAGTCGGTATCCACTGGATGGCAGTGGGTTTGTTGTCTGTGTGTTTGGGGTACAGATGGTGAACGTGTTTGGAGGTGCACATGGTCAATATGTGTTCAGAGGTACAGGTGGTGATGATGTCTCATGATGCAAGTGGTGGTTGTAAGTTGGGGGGTACAGCTGGTGAATGTGTGTTTGGAGATACAGGTGGTGAATATGTTTGGGGATGCAGGTGGTGGTTGCATGCTTGAGGGTGCAGAGGGTGTGTCTAGGGGTACAGACTGTGTTTAGGGGTATAGATGGTGAATGTGTGTCTGGGGGTGCAGGTGCTCAGCTACTGAAAGTTGCCCCAGAGGTACCTTGGAAGAAAGGCCTGGTGATCCACTTCTCAGAATCAGCTGTTGAAAGCCTTGAAGCCTTGAGAGTTCTGCTCTGAGTGGGGTCTGGTGAGTTGGTCCAACCCAGGCAGAGCAGCAGGCCCTTCAGGTTGGTCAGCTCGGATAGCCGACTCATTTTGCAGCTGGGGAAGTTGAGTCCCGGCCACCCAGCAGGTGTGAGAGAATCCTGGGACAGGAAGAAGCTGCTGGCCCGTGGCCAGGTGGTTATGCAAATGGCATCAGCACCCTGAGGCTGAAGCAGGAGTGCCAGCCAGCCTCGGGTTCAACTCACTCCAGGTATCCCAAGGTATCCCTCATCTCACTCCCTGGGCTGGGAGATGGCACTGAGGGTCTGTCGGGCAGTATGTGCTCGGGAGGGGTTGCTCTCTGCAGCTACAGCTCCTTCCCGGGGTCTGAAGACCTCCCAACCTATCAGGTCCTTAGGATGTGTCGTTTTGGTGCGGCTCCAGGTATGGCCAGGACTGAAGGGGGGTACAGGCTGTGCTGAGTGCCTGGGGGTCCCTGTACAGACCTGGTGGAGGAAGCCCTCCCCAGGAGCTGGGCCAGCATGGTGGGTGGGTGGGACTGGAGCCCTCAGGAGCCAGCCCGCTGGACCAGCCTTATGTGTGTGTGGGTGTCTCTCTGTGCTTCAGTTTCCTCCTCTGTGCACTGGTGCCAGTATGGATTGGTGAGTGGACAGGTCAGAGTTTCATGGGGTGAGGCCTGTCTCGGGCTGGGGCTGTCCCCTGAGATTTTGGCAGAGTGCCCGCTCTCAGGACATGCTGAATGGGAAGGGGGCCTCAGGGCTAGGTGGCACTGGCCACATTCACTGGCCATGGGGGTGCATGGGCTTCCCTTTGCTCTTCTCAGGACAGGGCAGTTGGACAGGCCTGCAGGCAGTGAGCGTGCTGAATGTCCCCATGAGGGTCAGGCAGCATCTTCGTCCCGAGCCACCAGTACATGTCTACTGTGACCTTAGGTGTCTCCTGTGTGCCCAGGTGGACCTGTGTGTTGTGGGGCTACTGGCCACTGTGTCTGGTGTGTTGTGGGGACACACTGGCCACTGTGTCTAATGGTGGCCTGCCTGCAAAGACACAGATGTCCCTGGCTCTGGGGCCTCTTGCTTGGCCAGTGTCCTGGCCTAGGACTACTCTGTGACCTGCCCTCCTAAGCCTCTAGTGGCCGCTAATTCAGCAGCCCTGGAGAAAGGGGGGCTTTCTACTATGGAGAGCTAGTCTCGGAAATCCACAGGGGCAGTTCTACCCTGTCCTGTAGAGTGGCCAGGAGTCAGAATTGACTTGATGGCAGTGAGTTTTGAGTGAGTTCAGCCGGGTGTGTGGTAGCCAGGTTGGACAGTAGGACCTGGGAGCAGCTGCTGGACATCCCCTGAGCTGAGGGCCCAGGGCCCTGGATGTAGCATGCAGCAGTGGGGCTCCCCAGAAGGGTGAGAATCCCAGGGGGCTTGCTGGTCTGGACTGCTGGGAGAAGGTCTCCTTGTGCCAGGCACCAGGGACTGGGGCCAATCCTGCAGGTTCCTGAGCCATACTGGGGAGGACACAGGAAGCTGAGGGGTTCGGCCGGGCTTATGCTCCCCACCCCCTGTGCCACAGAGCTTGTCTTTAGCATGCACTGTAGAAGTGCCCATGCTCCCAAGTTAGTGCCCGATTCCAGAGGCTGAGCTGTGTGCACCGGGAGGTGGGTGGGGGTGGGCGGAGGTGGAGGATACCCCCTTTCCTGCCCGTTGCTGTGCTCCACAGGGCACGGGGCGGGGCTGGTGTGGCATTGCAGAAGCCCGTCAAGGCTGGCCAGGCCTAGCTTCCTGGGCTCTGGGAACCTCAGGGCCAGGTCTCTCCATGGGCTTGTTGCTGGCCAGATCTCTCCTGTCACATAGGAGGATGCTGTGGGCTTTTCCCTGTGGGGTCACTGAGAGGTAGAATCGCTTGGATGGTCACAGGTTTGGTGTGGCCGGTGCCACCCATGACCAGAAGATAGGTGGTCTGCCTCAATGGCCCTCCGTCGGGCAGAAGGTGGCATCTCTGGGGTTGCAGCCTCCACCCAGCTCCAGGGCTCTCGGTGCTGACCCTCTGCCTGTGGCTGTGTGTGTGTGTGCCCCTTTCCTCTCAAGGTGCCCCATGGGTGGGCGGGACAGGGCCTCCATCACGTGGCAGGTCATGCTTGGGCTATTTCTGGCCACAGCCCTGGCCTCTGAGCTGTTGGAGTGTTGGTGGGTTGGATCATCTGAATCGGAGATTAGCTCGCCGTCCTCTGCTGAGCGTGCTTCCTCCGAGAGTTCAGCAGCAGTCCCCACGTGCCTCTGCAGCCCTCGGGTCCCTTGTGCCGTCAGTGGGGCTTCTCTGGAGGCTGGCTGGAGGAATGGTGGGGGCAAAGTGAGCTTCTGCCTTCCAGAAGAATGCATTACTGGTTAGCCAACCCAGGTGCAACCTTCTTTTTGCCTCCCCTGGTCACACTCCCCTTCCTCTGCTTTAGGGGCAGCTGGGAGGGCAAGATATACCCTCTTATCTGCTCTGGCTAGCTCTGCTTCTGGCAAGCCAGGCTCCAGCGAGGTGAGCTTGCTGGGTGCCAGGGGCTGCCAGTCAGTGCCTTCCCTGGATAGCAGTCATCAGAGCAGACTCCAAAGTCCCAGGCTTATTCTGCTCCGTGACCAGGAGCCACTTCTTAGATGAAGGTCCAAGGGCAAGGTGACGTCCTCTGTGCGGGCCTGGTGCGTGGGCGGTGTGTGTCAATATGTGTATGCGTGTAATATGTGTGCGTCGTGGTATATGTGTCTGTGTACATTGTGTAATATATATGGTGTGTGATGTGGTATATGTAATGTGGTATGTATATGTAGTCTATGTGTGTGATGTACGGTACATATGGTGTGTTGTGGGTGTGGTGGTATTTGTGCAGTGTGGTATGTGTAATGTGTGTATGTGATGTATGCTGTGGTGTGTGTGTGTGTAAAACGTATGCCATGGTGTGTGTGGATGGTTTGTAGTGTGTGCATATAGTGTGTGTGTGTGTGTGTGTGTGTGTGTAACGTATGCCATGGTGTGTGTGTAGATTGTTTGTAGTGTGTGCATGTAATGTGTGTGTGTAACATATGCCATGGTGTGTGTAGATGGTTTGTAGTGTGTACATATAATATGTGTGTGTAACGTATGCCATGGTGTGTGTGGGTGGTTTGTGGTGTGTGCATATAGTGTGTGTGTATGTGTTACATATTCTGTAGTGTGTGTGTGGATGGTTTGTAGCGCGTGCATATTGTGTGTGTGTGTGTGTGTGTGTGTGTGTAACCTATGCCATGGTGTGTGTGTGGTGATGTGTGGGTGGTGTGTGCGTGGTGTGTGGATATAGACGGTGTGTGTGGATGATGTGTATGTAGGTAGTGTGTTTATGGTAATGTGCAGTGTGGACGTGGTGACGTGGGTGGTGTGTGTAATGTGTGCTGTGGTGTAGTGTGTGGATGGTGTGAGTGGATGTGCATGGTGGGTGTTGTGGTGATGTGTGTGGACAGTATGTGGTGGGTGTGCATGCTACTTTTGACTTTGCTCATTCTGTGGGTCCCTGAGCCAGCCTCGGGGTGTTCACAAGGCGACCCCGAGTGCCTAGGAGGAGGGCTGCACCCTAGAGGGTTTCCAGGGACTGGTGTTTTGGAAGTAGAAGTCCGGGTTTTTCTTCTGAGGTGCCTCTGGGTGGACTGGAACTTTCAGCCTTCTGCTTAATAGCCATGTTCATGAACCATTTGTGCTACCAGGGATGCAGGATGGTGCTATCATACCATGAGACAGTTCCCGTGTCAAGTGGCCTTGTGGGAACAGTGAAACTCTGCCTGGCCCTGCACCGCCCTCACCGTCCTTGCTCTGCTCAGGCCCGTGCTGTGGCCACTCAGAGGAGCTCCCGCTTTCCACTGACCCGCTGCACTGAGCACAGGGCCCTTCTGCAGGCAACAGTCTCACCCGGCTCCGGAGCAACATTTCGAGTGCACTACCTCCACGACAGATGCGTTTATTCTCCTGGAAGTCCACGGTGCTTGCATGGTTGCTCACCAGCACTGTCATCCAGAGGCGTTCATTCTTTGAAGTTCCTTATTCACTGTCCAGCGGTCACACGCGTGTGAGGCCATGTAAGAAAAGCCATGGTGTGGGGCAGGAACGCCCGAGTCATCAGAGGGACACCTTAGCTCTTTAACACGTTGAAGAGATCTGTGCAGCACATTGGCCCAGCAGTGTGAGTGCCATTTCTTGACTGCTGCTTCCATGGGCTCTGATGGCGGGTCCGAGTAGAATTAAATCCATGGCAGCTTCAATCTTGTCTCCGTTGATCATGACATTACCTCGTGGTCCGGTTGTCAGGGTTTTTGTTCTCTTTACATTGAGTGGTAATCCAGCCTGAAGGCTGCAGTCCTTGATTTTCATCAGCAAGCGCTTCAAGTTCTCCTCAAGTTCAACAAGTAAGGTTGTGTCATTTGCATATCATAGGTTGTTAGTAAGCCGTCCTCCAATCCCAAGGCCACGTTCTTCCTCATGTAGTCCAGCTTCTTGTATTATTGGCTCAGCATACAGACTGAATATGTATGATGCGAGTATACACCCTGACACATTTCCTGATTTTACATCATCCAGCGCCCCCTTACCTTGTTTGAATGATTGCCTTTGACACACTTACAGGTTCCACATAAGCACAATGAGGTGCTCTGGAATCCCCGTTCTCCCAAGTGCTGTTCATGGCACTTAGTAATCCACATGGTTAAATGGCTTTGCAGAGTCTACAAAACAAACAAGTGTCTTTCTGGTGTTCTCTGCTTTCAGCCAAGATCTATCTGATGTCAGCAGTGATACCATTTGTTCTATGACCTCTTCTGAATATGGCTTCAATTTCTGTCAGTTTTTTGTCTATGCACTGTTGTACCCATTTTTAATTCTCTTCAAAGTAGACTTCCATGGGATATTAGTGATACAGGTAGATCATTTCTTCATTCTGTTGGGTCATCCTTCTTTGGCGTGCACACAAACATGGCTCTCTGGCAGTCACTTGGTCAGGTAACTGTCTTTCCAGGGTCTGGGCACAGACGAGTGGGCACTTGCAGTACTGCTCCGTGTGGAGCATCTCGTCTGGGTTCCTCCACTCCTGGGGCCTGGGCTGTGGCCAGTGCAGCCTGGCTCCCCCAAGACTCTGTGTGAAACAGCTTCTGATCCTGAGTCACAGTGGGCCTGCAAAAAGGGAGTTTTCCAAGGGTCCCGGTCTCGGGATTCTCTTGAGAGATAGAACCAGTGAGATGTATTTGCATAGATGTCATGTCCAAAGGCTGACTCACGCAAGTGTAGGGCCAACAAGTCTCAAATCTGAGGGTAGGAGAGAGGCTCCCAGGATTGTGGGAGTGGTCCATCCCAGGATCTTAGAGCAGGTGACGGCCAGAGCTCAGAGTGAAGGGAGCAGGCCTGGGCAGATGGAGCTGGCCTCACACCTGGCTGAGTATGCTAGGGTAGCTGGCATTGTGGGAGGTCTTTACACTGCAGTGTTTCATGTCCTGGAGCAGTGGCCAGACCTCAGGCCAGCAGAGCCGCCGCCCCAAGCCCTGTCAGCCCAGGACATGTGTACATGGAGGCCCTGGGTCCGGGTGCACTGACTTCACTTCCTCATTGATGTTCTTCTAGTTCCTCCCTGGACCAAGATGACTGATAGGAAGCTGTCTACCTCTCCCAATGGCGTTGCCTTGATGGGTATTGTGGCTGGTCAGCCAGGAAACCACCTCCCCAGCCCTCTGAGCGTGCGCCTCAAGGCCTCCCAGTCCCTTTCTCTGCCTGAGCATGGCCCCCAGCTACTGCATGATGCCACACAGGACTGCTGCAGCCTGGCCTCGGTGGACTCGGGGATCCCCACGCTGGAGATCAGCAACCCAGAGCCCGTGGCCTGCAGCGCCGTTCACACTGGACGGCCACTGGCCCCAACTGGCCCCGAGCGGGCTTCCCAGAGCACCTGCGCCCTGCCATCCTGCACGCTGCTGGGACCCGAGGGCGCTGAGCGGGAGCCAGGGGTGCGCAAGTCCTCCACCTTCCCCAGGACTGGCTACGATGCTGTGCGGCTCTGCAGCCCGCCTTCCCTGGCCCTGGGCCGCAGCGATGATGCTTCTGTCTGCAGTGGGTCCAGCCTGGGCACGGAGCTCAGCACCGAGGACCTCCTCGACCTGGTCACCAGCAGCTCCAGTGCCATCGTGGCCCTAGAGAACGACGACAACCCCCCCTTCATCGATGTCACCCTGGGCTCCGCCAGGGAGGCGGGCAGCCCCACCCAGCGCGATAGCACCCAGGGGCCTGTGGAGGGCCGCAGCAGGGCCAGATTCCTGGGGCCACTCGGCCACTTCTTGGCCAGGTAACACCCTTTGTCTGTGTGGGGTGCGGTGGGGTGGGGTGCAGGGCCCACCAGGTACCCTGTCCTGCCTATCGTGGTCAGCATGTGTTCTGTGTATATCTACCTCACTGGCCTTCCTCATTCACCCGTGGCACTGTGTTGCCTCCCACCAACCCCCACCAACCCCACCCCCCATCCCCCTTGGCCCTTGCTGAGCAAGTGGGAGGGTCATGCTCAAGGGCCCAGCACCGCCATGGTGTGCAGGACGGGGCTGCTGGTGACTGCCATCTCAGAATGGCGATCTGCCCCCAGCTGTTCTCACCCAGCGGGGTGGCGGGAGCATGCTTGTGAGGGATCCTGGCTGCTAGCCTGGGTGAGGAGTCACCATCAGGGGTCCTATCCAGGCCCCAGTGGGCATTCAGGATGCTGCTGCTCAGACATTCCTGGGCAGTCTTGGGGTGCCTCTCCTGACATCTCTAGGGTGTGTCCCAAGGAGAGGGGTGCTAGGGGCCATGTGCCTGGTAGAGTGGGTGCCACCAGCTGGTCCTCAGATGCCCTCACCCGCCCAGCAGTGTCTGCGAGCCTGGCTGCCCCCGGGCCGTCGTGTTGGGGAGTGACGTTTCACTCTGGTGCAGTTTCCATCCGACAGGGCAGGGGCTGAGGCAGCGCCTGGGACTTGCAACTCCTTCTACCAGAGGCCTCTGCCCGATATTTCTGGTTCTCTCTGTCCTGCTCTCTCCTCTCTCGCTCTGCTCTCTCCCGACTCTCTCACTCTCCAGCTCTTCCCTCCCCATCTCCTCCTTCCTCTCACACGCCCTCCACCCCGGCTCCTCCTCTCTGCTCAGGGCAGACTGACCTGTGCTGACAGCAGGTGGGAGGCCTGGGGCCTCGACCCCAGGCCCGTCATGTACCTGTCTTCAGGATGAGGGCATTCTCCTGCCCGGTCATTCTCTGACCTTGATTGACATCAAGGTGTGTGATGGTGATCTGATTCGGTTGTCCATCCGCAGCCCTTGCTCACACTTGATGGCTGGCCCCAGGGGCACGTTCTTCACAGGGAGAGTTCCATCTGCATCACCTGTGACACCTGGTCACCCTGTCTCCTGGTCAGGTCTCACCTGGCACCGTTTGTCCCCTGGGCTCTGTCCTGTGTCGCCTGGAGGCTAGGCTGGGGCTCTGTGGACCATGGCCATCCTTTCAGTGGGGGCTCCTGTGCCTGGTGATGAGGCCCAGGGGCTATTTGGTTGGCAGGGTCATGGTGGTGGGGTGGGAGGAGGCTGGAGTTGGGGGCTCGCGGGTAGGTTACCCCAATATCGGGGCCTCTGATTGCTTGTGTCAGGCCTGCCAGTTCCTCCTTGGTAGAGTGACCGCATTTCCCCCTGCGAAGGGAAGGCAAGGCCTCCGGCCACACGTGGTGTGTCTCAACCACTGACCCAAGGTCCAGGGTGGACGGTTAGAAAACACCAGGAGGAAGGGCTGGCTGTCCACCTCCGCTGAGATCACAGCCACGAGGCCCCCATGAGGCAGCTCACCTCTGCAGCTCGGTGGGAGTGGTGCTTTGTGTGCCACTAAATCCATCAAAACACGATGTGGAAAGGTCCTTGGGACTGTGTCATTGTCCTCATCCCCATCCCATCCCATCAAAGGCTGCCCCACCTTTTCAGTTGTCTGTGTGTCTGTCAGTGTGGACTCAGAGCCCTGCACTCAGTGGCTCCTGCCCTGTTGCCGCCTTACTTTCTGCTGCTGTGGAGCATGTACCCAGCAGAGCAGGCGCTGCTTCCATGCAGGGCACTGGCCAGGTCCTTCAGTGGGGCGGCTGCCTCTCTGTTTCTGGGCGCTTCCTCCACAGTGAAAACTGGCTCTTGCCCTCTGGTGGTCCTGACCTCACCCTCCGGCTCACTGCTGTCACCCCGTGCCTTGAAGAGAATTCTTCCCACGGGCACCTACTCAAGGCAGACATTCTTTACTGCGGGAGGGAGGCGGGTTGTCTAGAGAGACAATCCGGGGACGCTCATCTATGTAAGAGGCTGAGCGTTCTGTCAAGAAGTAATCATCTGTCAAGAAGGCATCCAGCTCTAGCCCATACGTTCGGTGCTAGTCTGTGAGTCCTTTCTCGGACTCCTGTAGCCGCACGTTGGTGATGCATGCAGCAAGGATGCTTACAGGCCAGTGGGCGCAGAGTCATGTAGATCCAGAGGTTGGTGGAAGCGTGGCAGGGCACCGACAGCGCTCAGGGTCAGGTGGCCCACATGGGGCTACTGCTGGAGGCAAGCACAGAGTCCCAGTGAAGCTCAGTGAGGAGGGAGGCAGGGGCAGCATCTCGGTTTGCCTTGCTTCTTATAGAAAAAGGTTTATGGCATCAGGAGGTATCATCAGTGTGCGTGCCTTGATTGTCAGGTTTAATTCCACCTTTAACCAGGAGAGTCTGGTTGACGTGAGCTCTAACCTACCACACTTACTCAAAGGAAACTTGAATCGGGTAAAGGTGACTTCAGGGTCTAGTTGCAATTTCAGTTTTAAAGATGTGTCTTGTGCAGTATATAGTCTTGGGGTGGGGGTTACAAACAACTTCTGGCTTCATAAAATCTGGATTGTATGTGATTTGAGCTTCTGTACTACCTTTCCCCCTTTTGATCAAGGTGTTTGTTTGGTAAGCTTTTTGACCAAACTTCAAAAAACCAAACACTCTGACTAAACACTCAGAGACTAGAGTTCTCTGTAATGGTGACTGGGCACTGCTCGGTTCTGACCCCTTGATAGAGAGAACAGCCGGGCTCCCAGTTACTGTCCCCTCGTTAACTGACTCTCCTTCCTCTGCTGCTCCCGGTGAATAAAGATAGCTGTTTACAAGCTTGTAAGAGCTCTGGCACCATGCACCTAGGAGACAGAACAGAAACACTGAACACAAGATGAGGCCATTTACCTGGGGTGTCCCATGACACCACACCCCTACACCTCCATGCCAGGAAGACAAACTCCAGGGGCGTCAGGTTGAACTATCTCGGGATATCAGGTTGTAGCATCCCTGGGCGTCAGGTTGAACTATCCCGGGGACGTCAGGTTGAAATATCGGGGGGATGTTGGGTTGTGCATATAGAGCCTTGGCCTCAGCTGTCTGTTCTGCTGTGTTTATGGGACACACTGTTTGCTGCCATCTGACTGCCATTTGTGGAAATTGAGTCCTTTTTGCAGCCTTTGCGCTGCCCTCGGTGGGGTCAGGGCCCACTTGGGAAACTGAATCCGACCCGGTACTGCAGTGTGGACTCTGACTCGTGGTGCCCCAGTGCACCCCAGCAGAACTGTGCTCCAGGGTGTCAGTGACTGCAGCCCTTTCTTTCTTGTCACCGAGAGCAGCTGTGGTGAAATGTAGGGGCTGTGGGACCAGAGGGCCCTGGGGTTTAGGAAAGCCCCGCCAAGCCTGTTGTAGGAAGCAGGCCCTTCCTCGGCTGCCCACTTCTCCCGTGGTGAAGGGACTCCTGTTGCAGGGGGAGGGTGGACTCGCTTCCCCTTAGAGCATGTGTAGGAACTAGTGCACAGTTAACATCTTACCTGGCTCTTCCGTCTAAGAGTGACTGTGTGACAACGTCTGCATGTTCCCTTTTGTTTCCAACACACGGTTAAATTGCTCTCTGCACACTCACCTTGTGGTTGCCACATGGAATCAGCTGGTTCCTGTTTATGCTGAGTTTGCAGCTGAGAATGGTTTCAGTTCCCGCTTTGCTGATTCTTTGTTTTGCACAGTTGGGGTTGCCGGGGATCCCTTTGGGCCCTCAGTTTGCTCAGTAGCCACAGGGAGCCGCCAGCCACTGGGTTGTTTGGTTGGTTTTTGACATTTACTAAGTCTTAAATGGGACAAGGACAGGACAAAGACATATCAGATGAGGGCGACCATGGGCACAAGGTCTTAATGGTGTCCAAAGGTTTGCTGATGTACAGAGTTTTAAAGGGACCCAAGAGGTCAAGAAAAACTGTCACAGCAGATTAAACAACATGGTTACAGGTGAGATTCCAGAGTGGAATAGGGTCATGACTGGGACATGCAGGTCATAGCAGGCGGAGTTTACAAGTTGGCTCCCCAAGGTATTAAGGCCTGACTCATGACCAAATGGCCCTCCCTGTTCTCCTTCCAGGACACACCCAGGCAAACCCCAGGGGGAACCGCCCTACCTGGGCTGATGGGGGGTAACCCACCTCCCAAGGCATTCTGTCTGAGGACAAACCTGCTCACACTCCTGGTTGCTGATCAGTGGGAACTCAGTGGAGGCTTCATCCCCGTGGGGATTCTGCAAATGAGTTGTAGGCGTCCACTTCCATTCACAGCCTTTTGCAAACCTGGTGCTCAGAATTTATATTCTAATACAATTCCTTCTTACCATGGGTTTTATTATATGAAATCCTTGGGTCACGCGGATTGCCTCCACTTTTACCACCAGGCTCTGTAGGGTCATTGTGAGTCACAGTCACCTCTTGCTGGTATGAGTGTTCTGTGGGCCCGCAGCCCTGTTGTTGCTGCTTCTGACTGTCGGCAGCCCTGTGTGTGCAGAGCCTCTGCTAAGAAGAGAGAACTGCTCTGCGGGGTTTTCCAGGACGTGAATTTTCGAAGCCGCGTGCCAGGCCTGTCTTTCTCAGAGCCTCTGGGCCAGTTCAAGCCGTCAGCCTCTCGGCTAGTAATGCAGCGTTATGTCCTGGTGGTCTGCTTCTGTGAGTGGAGGCAGGGCTTTAAGACCTGGTTACCTTCCAGCTTTAAAATTCAAGGGTACAGTACACCCCTTACCCAGAGGGAAGGCCTGGGAGGTGTGGCTCTGCACAGTCCTGAGGGTGGTAGGAGCCAGGCATGAGAAAGAAGAAAGGGGCAGAGGCTGGGCACACTGCTTCCCTGGTGGTGCTATACGTTTTTGCCCAGGGGAGACAGGGCTCCTCTACCTGGCACCTACAAGGCTAATGCCAATGTTAAAGCAGAAGCATTTGAGTGGCAGTCAAACAGTGCACACTGGGTGTGTTAGGACGGGTAGACTAGAGAAACAAATTCAGTAACACTCATGTGTAAGAAAGAGCTTTATATTAAGGAATAATTGTGCATTAATAAAACATCCCATCTCAATCCAGATCAAGTCCATGAATCTGATACTAGTCCATAAATCCCTCATCAGACTCACAAAGCCACACACAATGATGCAAAAGGAACTCAGGAACATCCCTGGCTGGTGGGTGCAGAGCCCATGGATCCAATGGCGGTGGCTCTGGCAGCTCTCCCAGTGACCCAACAGCAGGAGGGGAAGGCAGAGAAAGAGAGGAAGTTCCCAGGATCCTCCTTATGGAGGTACCATCAGGCTGCGACCTGACTGACAGACTAGACTCCACCCCAACATTTTCATATCTTCAGGTTGACACCAAAATTATGTAACTACCACACAAGGAAAAAGATCTGGTGGCCTACTTCCAGGGGTCACCCAATAAGAACCTGGGAGTCACAATAGGGCGCTGCCCCACTTGCTTGCTTTGGACGCCCCATCAGGAAGGGGGAAGCACTGGAGCAAGACTCAGTGTC